CCTAGCAACCACTTAGCAACTAGTCAGAACACCCTAGAAACCCAGCAGAACGCCCTAGCAACTGCTTAAAACACCCTTGCAACCACCCAGAACATCATTGCAACCACTTACAACACCCTAGCAACCCCCTCATCCACCACTCAGAAAGCCTAGGAAACCAGCAGAACAATCAGTGCTAGTTTTGCAGTGGCAACCAGTTAAACCACCCTAGCAACTACTTAGAACCTTAGAAACCTCCAGAGCACTTTAACAACTTACTGACAACCACTCAGAATGCCCAGGGGACCAACAGAACACCTTAACAACACCCTAGCAACCACTTAGCAACTATTTAGAACACCCCTAGAAAAGGGGCCGTTCACATGTCACACCTAAAAACATGTGGAAAACGCTAGCCTTGCTGCTTTTTCCTTCTTTCCAAAGCGCTCGGTAGCTTGCGGTCCCATTGCATCAGCCGTTGCTAAGCAACCATGACCTGCCACTCCATTACGACGCAGAAGTTTCAGCAAAGGATAAATAGATTTCCAGCATTGAAAATCACTTGCAGTAGCTCTGCTACTAAATTTACACTAAATTGATTTAAAAATGGCTATCCCTGTACAGCTATGATCAACTGTTCCTCCATCTTGGCTGAGCTTTCAATGTTGTTACAAAAAGGGTGAAGGTGATTGGTTGGTTCTTGTCACATGACCTGCGGTGCGCTTGCGACATTTTGAAAAAAAAGTTGAGATGTTTTTAATCTCACTGCGGTTAAAAAACGAGCGTGTCGCACCGCATAGAGTCGCGACCTATTTGCGCTCCCTATTTGCTCTATTCGCTCTCTATTTGCGCATGCTTGCCACGCATCTACATTTGAAATAACGAACTTGAGCGTGCAAAAGACACGATATGTGAATGGCCCTAAAACACCCTATCAACCATTCAGAATGCCAGAGATACCAACAGAAAACTCTTGCCACTGCAAAACTAGCACTGGCTACAACTTTTGCAGGAGCAACTATTTAAAACACCCTAGCAACCTCTCAGCAACTATTCAGAATACCTTAGAAACAACCCAGAACTCCCTAGCAACCATTCAGAATGCCCTAGAAACCACCAGAACACCCTTGTAACTGCTTAAATATATATATATATATATATATATATATATTAGTCAAAACAATTAAATAAGTTTAAACAAATAAAAGTATAAATAAATAGTATAAATAAAAACAAAAGTGTAAATCAATCAATAAATGAATCAGTCAATCAATCAATCATATACCTAAACATAGGCTTTCATTTCTTAATGCAAAATATCATTTCTTTTTTGTTCCTTTTTTGCTTTAGTGGTAAGATGTGACCTGTACATGTTTTGGTGAGATTTACCTTACCAAGATAATCATGGCAATTGTCATTTTGTGTACATTTATGCGAAAGCATAATTATGCAAATGTATAATCATTTTCTTTTTTTAAAAAGTTCCAGGAAGAGCGTTTGTTTGATAAGTAGGCTGCTGAGTGCGTTTGAAAGGCAGATGCTGCGTCGCCTTCTTTTGATCTGGGAAATTTTCAGGCCGCTACTGGTAAGATCTTCTTCTATTACTGTTAATCAGATCAGATTGATTGAATCAGGAGCTATCAGGATGCGATCAAACATGTGGGACTCCACACCGCCGCTAATGTACTGCTCTGAGGTCAGCAGAAATGTGTGTGTGTGCGGATGAAAGGACGCTGATGTCTATCTGACAGACAGATGCTACATGACATGCCTGCGTATGGATAAACGCAAACCTATGAATAACCCGCTATTGAAAAAAGGGCATGTTGTCAGGCACTGCTAGAAAAAAAAAGGGTTGTGCCCTTTATAAGAATCAGCCAATCACAGCACGCCGATGACAAAGCTACTAGGAGGAGATGGCTGTTTGAGGAAAATAGTGGTACATTGCTGCTGCGCTCCAGGTGATTCAATACACCAGACATTGAAGATATAGTATAAACAATAAGGCTTACAGGTGGAAAGCCATTAAGGGCTTCTCATGACTTGTGAGCATTATTTGCCAAGCTATTCTATTGGCTTTTATTGCTTAGAGGTTGCTTTTTCAAAGCTCAGGAGACTTAATGGAGTACTCAATTAAGTTTTGTTTAAATATCAACTCGGCTTAGATGTAAAATCCCTTTTAAGGAATAGAAAAACACACCAGTGTTATTATAGTGCCATTGATCTACTATTATAGTTTTTGTTAATACTTTGAATTATATTTGATTTTAGATTTCCTGTTTTAATTAAAGTTTTGGTCATTTTGGAGGGGTTTTGTTCATTTTATTAGGCTATTTTTAAAATATGACTGAATTTTCAGATTTTAGTTTTTGTTGTAGTTTTAGTTCTATTTTTTTTAAATAGTTTTAATTACATTTTAGTTTTGTGTTATAGTTTTACATTTTTAAAATGTCTATATAGTTTTTATTAAAGTGATAGTTCCCCAAAAATGAAAATCTGTCATTAATTACTCACCCTCATGTCTTTCCAAACCTGTAAGACCTTCCTTCATCTTCAGAATACAAATTAAGATATTTTTGCTGAAATCCGAGAGCTTTCGGACCCTACATAAACAGCAATGCAACTGAAACGTTTTATGGTCCAGAAACGTTTTAAGGACATCGTTAAAATGTGACATCAGTGTTTCAATCGTAATTTTATGAAGCTTTGAGCTATGACGGTTGAACCACTGATGTCACATGGACTATTTTAACGATGTCCTAACTAGCTTTCTGTGCCTTGAATGTGGGAGTTGTTTTGCTGTCTATGCAGGGTCAGAAAGCTCTCGGATTTCAGCAAAAATATCTTAATTTGTGTTCCAAAGATGTCTTACAGGTTTGGAACGACATGAGGGTGAGTGATTAATAACAGAATTTTCATTTTTGGGTGAACTATTTTAGTTTTCGTTTATTTAGTTTTAGTTTGACATTTTTTAATGCCTATATCATTTTTTATTAAGTTTTAGTTTCTAGTTTTAGTTCATTTCGTTTTAGTTTTAATTTTTTTAATGTCTATATAGATTTTATGACATTTTAGTTGGTTTAGTGTTACGTTTTTTATGTCTATATAGTTTTTATTATGTTTTAGTTTATTTAGCTTTAGTATTAGGGGGTTTTCCCCCAAATGTGTCTATATAGTTTTTAAGTTTTAATTTTTACTTAGTTCTAGTTCATTTTTATTCACTGAAATAATTTGATGTAAAAACCGTTTTCACTCAGAAATTGCAAGTAAATTTCAAAAATAATTATAAACAATCAGTAACACATTGAATTAAATGTGAAATCTTCTTGTAGTTTTGAGTATTTTTTTGTAAAACGTAGTCCAGTAATTAAAAAAAAAATGTTTACATTGTACTTTAACTTAAACTAAATGAAAATGTTGCCTTGGCAACTAGCTGAAATAAAATAAGATTAATTTTTTTTTATATTTCATTTTATTTTGGTTAATGTTTAATTTATTTCAAGTAATGAAAATGTTTATGTTTTAGTTTTAGGTAACGATAACTACGATATACATAAATGAGGCCATTATTGATGTTCAGAGTATAGCACTACAAAAATAATCAAATCGTTTGGTGTAAGAATTTGGAGAGAAATGTTTCAGTTTATAATGAAATCTCAGACATTTTGATATCTTGAGCAATTCAAAAATAAGGTTGAGATCTCTTCTGATATTAATGGGGGCTTTTTCCTCAGAAGAAAATCTGAGAAGAGCAAGAGACTTACAAAGCTTTCCTTAATGCTGTCTAGAAGAAACAACTGAGACAAATGATTTTTCATTTCTGCCGAAAATGTCGCGCCCCACCTTGACTCCGCAGCATCACTCTGAGATGCCATTTGGACACGTAATTATAAAAGCACTTAAAGGCCGCCAGTGCAAACACGCTCGTCATTGCTGGTGGTGCTCTGTGCCCTCATTTAAAGGCATTAGAAACGATTTGCAGCTACACTGCTGGTCACGCATGACGTTGATGCTGCCCGGCAATGCAGAAACTGACATAGGGAAGTGAAAATGTGGCGGGTCTGTTGATCTCACAACCCTCTGTCACATTAGAGCTGTCCGAAGGTGACACACACTTCCATCACAAATCACACGACTGACCCAAACACTGCACTACATTTAACAAAGGGCACGCATGGACCATTTTTGAGCTGACAATGTGAACTATAATGGACCAACACATTTAAATCTATAGTATTAGTATTTTTTATTACATTTATTTTTTAAGTTTTAGATTTTATTTATTAAGTTTTAGATTTAACGATTTAAAAAAAATATGTCTATAGTTTTTTAACTTTTAGATTTTAGTTTTAGTTAAAAAATATGTCTATATAGTTTTTATATATTAGTTGTTTTTTTCTGTATAGTTTATAGAAATATTTATATATAGTTTTTCCATATAGTCTATACAGTTTAAGTTTTCATTTTTATTTAGTTTTAGTTTTTTATTCACTGACGAAAATTAAAAGTGACATTTAGAAATACTGGCAACCCATTTACTTTGGTAATGTATTTCTGAGTATAGAACAGGACTTGACTTTATCCATCTGGAGTTGATTGGAATTTATTCTAAAGAAAGTTTATACAGACAAACAACACTGTTCTGTAATGATCAAATCAGAGGTGCATTTCATCAGCATTTATTTTGCTTAATTTATCACCATTTACCTTTAAACTTTGCTGCAGAATGTTTTTTCTTGCAAAAAGTCTTGAATATTACATGTATCACCCAGAGCTCCCAGAATGACTCATCAAACTTCAGAGGCAAAGAATGATTGCAATTTAAAAAAAGCGAGAGTAGTGAACATACTGTAAGAACGCAAGCTCTGATGGCTGTTCTACAGCCGACAGGCTTTCTCTATGACAAATTAGTGGAACATAATAAAATTGCTTCACCCCGATTCCCAAGATTCACATTATGGGATTTATTCCTCATTTACACTCTGTACAGAGAAGGTACAGGAGTAATGAAATGCACTCACAGTCCCTGGAGAGTCTGCCGCTGTGCAATCGATCTTTTTCATCCTGCGAGATGCTCCAGCATGTAATTCCTCACACAGTCAAAGTGCTAGAAGAGAAAAACAAGAATAAAGTCAAAATAGACCTGGTTAAAACTGCTTTAGACATATGGGTATAGGTATAGGAGACCAAAATAGTCAATGAATCAGATGGGCTCTGCTTCAATTTCTACAGTAGTAAGCTGTTCATCTAGACCAGGCTTTCTCAACCCTGGTCCTCGAGGGCCACTGTCCAGCAAATGATAGCTCCAACCCTAATCAAACACACCTGAACCAGCTAATTAAGCTGTTCAGGATTATTAGTAAGCTACAGGCAGGTGAGTTTGATCAAGGTTGGAGCAAAACTCTGCAGGACAGTGGCCCTCCAGGACCAGGGTTGAGAACCCCTGATCTAGACAATACTTTTAGGCATCATAAGGCGCGTTTCCATTACCCTTCAAATTGCGCAAGCTGAAATTGCAAATTGAAAATACGCCTAATGGAAAGGCGTCAATTTCGCAAAAACGGCCATATATCGCAAAAACGTTTTTACGCTCGCATGAGGTGGTTTTTCAGGCAATGCGAAAAAGGATTAGTTCGCGCCGTCATTTTGCAATACTTTTTTATCGACATTCAGAAAATATCGCCAAAGTCTTGCGCAAATCTGTAATGGAAACGCGCATATAGACACCTTTTTACAAAATAAATTCATGAATAAATAAATGCATAAATAAATAATCCATAAATAAACACTTGTATAATTATATGCATAAATAAAAAAATTAACAAATAAATAAATGAATGCATAAATACATAAATAAATAAATGCATATAAACAAATGCATGCATGAATGAATAAATGCATAAATGTATACATTTATGAAAAAATGCATAATGTATAAATAAACAAATATATAAAAGAATGCATAAGCAAATACATGCATAAACAAACATCTATAAATAAACAAAAATATAAATGAATGCACAAATAAATAGATGGATAAATGAATAAATGAACTATCTGATGTATCCATAAATGTATAAACAAATGAATGCATAAACAAAAACAGATATATATAAATAAATGCATAAATGAATGCACAAAGAGATAAATGCATGAATGAATGAATGAATGAATGAATTGTGAAAGCATAAAAAAAAATTATTAAAAGGTAGCCTATCAAATTTTGGCTTAAACTAAAGGTATACACTATATACTTTCTGTATACGACAGTCCCAAAGTGCATTGCGACAAGTTCAGTTTCACCCAAGAAGTCAAGAGAAACATTCATTATTTTACCCAATATCTGTGTGTGTGCTACTTATTTTTTTCACACATACATAAATACACACACACATTATATATATATATATGTATGTATGTATGTATGTGTGTATGTATGCATGTGTGTGTATATATATATATGTGGACAAAGTACTCAAAATCCACTACTTGAGTGAAAGTACAGATACTGCTGGTCAAATATTACTCCATTACAAGTAAAAGTTGTAAAGACAGATTTTTACTTAAGTAAAAGTACAGAAGTACTTGCTTTTAAAAGTACTTAAGTACCAAAAGTAAATTTCCTTTTTTATGTCAATGCACTGTTTTATTGTTGTA